AATAACACTTCAAGTCTGGATGTGAACTCACCCTTGGCTCAATTTCAGCCAAACAGTAAATAGGTTTATAAGGGGAATAATAAGACTAGGGAGGCAGCCACACCTTTGAATTCAGATCAAAATGGCAATATCTACCCAAGGACAAAGTTCAGAAGGGCTAGGAAAGGACAAGAATGGAAACAGAAAACACAAGGAAGAATTAGGATAAGCGATACTACATTTAGGGGCTTATAATCAGTAAGCTAAAACAAAATGTGTATGAATTGTTGAATGGAAAACTGGTTTGTTCTGTAAACCTTCACTCAATGCACAATGAGTTTTAAAAACAAAACAAAACAACAACAACAATGGGGGGTTTTGGTTTTACTGAAACAAAACAGCAAAGTTTTTATGACTTTCTAAATTTCTTTTTCTTTGCCTTTGTTTGCCATGCTGCCTTTTTTTGGGAGGGGTGGGGGGAGAGGAGGGAGGGAGGATCTGGAACCCCCCAAAAGGCAGAAAACCCTTTTATGGCAATAGATACATGCATGCCACAAAAAATGCCAAATGAGATATTTTTTAACTTTATATTGTTATTTATATTACAGACCTATTCATTATTCAAATACAAAATTATCGTGTAATTTTCAAAAACACATTACACACCACTCAAAAATTATGATATGGTTACACAAGGTCAGCAGTTCAAACCCAACAGCTGCTGCTTGAAAACCCTATACAGGGTCGGAACTGAGTAGGTGACACTTAACAACAACAACTCTGTTCTGTAAAAAGCACCAATAGAAAGCAAGTTTGCTAAAGTAAAATAAGTTTCATGGCAAGGCAGGCCTTTAAAGGGGCCACTACATGAAAAGTGTTGAAGCATTAACCAAGTGACTACTTTTGTAAAGCAGAAAGATGGAAAATTAGAACTTCACAGATGGGGAGAAAAAAAAGGTAGGAAGGGAATCATTTAGAGAAAAAGAAGAAAAGACATTGTTGACTTCCGGGTTGTAACTTGACAAATTGGAACACATTACCAGGGCTTCCTGTTTCCATTTCTGACATAGTTTCTAGGTTGGTTAGTTCTTTATGAAACTGTCGTCTTACAGTTCTGCAGCCTCTTCCATCTTGCCACCGACAGCCATCTTCACTTTCTTGAACGGAGTCTTTTCTTGGTCGGTTTACAACAGGAATTCTAGGCGCAGGTTTAAATTCTCTCCGATTGTCTGAACTGCCAGAAAGTTCATCAGAAAGCCGTCTCCGACTCTGAGCTTTGTGGCTGTCATTTATCCAAGCTGGTTGGCTGTAAATTGGGTTTTTAAATGCATATGGATTGTTGGAAACAGCATGTGGTCCTTTTCTGGGAGTATTCCCATAGTTCCCTGGTGTTACTTTTTTTTCTGAAAGGCCTTTTTCCATTTTACCACTATGACCTTTAGCATAATCATCCATTATTAAATAATCTTGTTGGGGGTGACCCCTCCTGAGATCATCATCATCTGTAGTGCCATGATCTTTAGTGCGTTTCACAAAATATGGTTTTGCAGCATCTCCCATGGTCTTGGACTGCCAAGTTTCTTGTTCTGAAACTGAAAGAAGGCATTTCAGAGAAAATGAAACCATAACAAGGCAGTACACCCAGTATATAAAATACCACATATTTATTGCAGGGACGCCCTAAAGCCTACCAGAAACTACATTTCTACTACTTCTTTTAATAGAAACATCTCCACCACATTTCCTAATAGAAGGCAGGAGGCTTAGGTCTCTAATAGTCCTCATAAAAATGAGTTCTTAATAGTTAACATGATTAAGTCTGTGCACAAGGGTAAACTACTAGTATAGTCTTGAGAAGTATATTACAGTAAAATATTACTCATACCAAGTGGGTGAGCTTTGACCTATAAAACAAGTTCATTTCTTTCCTCAGAAAATCTCATACCAAATCTAGTACGTTACTAAAGTATCCAGTCTTACTTTTTTTTAAGTTGACAATTATTTTTAACTGCTATGCAAAGTAACCGAAACTTTATGTGAACAGAGTGAATCTCTTCACAACACCCCGCACTCTTCATCACCAATCACCACCACTATGCGTAACTGACCGGCTTGGATCAAATCGCTTAGGCTACTTTGGGGCTGAGGTCTCCACCAAGGAACTCCTCCAGTTAAAGGGACTGGGTTTCCGACCAAGGGACAGCTCCAGCTAAGCTCCGCATTCCTTATCCTCCAATCCCAAACAAGTGTGGTTCTGTCACAAACAATTCCTAGAGTAATGACGACCCCTTCCATGCCCATTTGATGGCCTCCTCCCCCATCTGCCTCAGTTTCCATAACATCTGGGGCCAGAGGCAAAGAAAAGAGGCGGCATTCCCGCACTCCCGGCCACGAAGCCACCGCGGGGACCAGAAAGCAGGAAGTGACTTGTCTCCTCGATGAGGTTCCGGGGTCCCTCCCTACCGTCTGGGGGGCCGGAGCCGAGTGCCTCGATCTAAAACCTCTTCTTGGATCCCCGCAGACTCTGACACAAAGTGAAAGCGTGAACTAGAACCTGAGAGTCCAAGTCCCCGACTTCCCCAGTCCCCGGGACCAAACACTGGGGCGTCAAGTGGAAAGAGCCAACGTACCACCGGGGCCAGGCCCGACCTCTGCTTTGGAAACCAGAGCAATCCACTGGAGACCTAGCCCGGAAGGCAGTCTGGGAGGGACGAGAAGAGAAGCCGCCCCAAAGCACTCACCACCTCCGTCGCGGTCCCCAGCTTCTTCCTGTCCCGGACGGGCTCCCTTTCCGTGTTTTCTTTCGGCCCCACTTCCGGCGTTCAGCTCGGTTTCATTGTGCGCGATTGGGAGCCGGCGGTATCCCCGCCCCAGCGCTTCGTCGCGCACGCCGGAAACGCGCGCCCCGCCCGGGAGGCCCGCCCCCTGTCGGGGGACGGCCAGCTGAAGTGGGCCCTGGTCGCTCGGCCGCTCGCGCTTCGCCAGCTTGCGGTGTCTTCGCTGCTGTTGTGTTCTTCCTGTTGGGCTCCAGCGACGCTGTCGGTTCCGAAAGTCGGTTGACGGGCAGCAGGCAGCTCTTGGGCTCGGCCTTCTCCTGACCGCGATGGGCGCCGAGGCCGCATAATCAGCCATCCCTCCCTCCCTGGTGCATATAGATCTCTTCGGTTTCGTTTTCTCATTTGACTTTCGGTTTTGAAAGCACAGGAGAGATTTGGCATGAAAGCCTGTTGTCTGGAGAGAGACCTGGAACCTATCGATCTGGGCGCAGCTGCTCTCTCCAGTCCACCTTGCTTTCAGGGGAAAATGAAATCTAAGTCTGAAGGGTCAAAAGGCTATTCCTGTTTTTCCGGTTATTCTGAGCTATTTAAAGTTTCAGTGAAGTCTTATTAATTACTGAACATGCAGAAATGTAAGCGTTTAAGCATTCACTGTTCACCTTGACCACCTGAAGTTCTGCTTTTTTGGTAGATGGTGCCAGGATTCGTTTTAGTTAAAAAGTTTTTCTGTGTTTTGAAAATCAATTATAAATGATGATCAGGAAAGGGTCATGCTTTTAAGTTTTTAACTGAATGATGCTTAGGTAGCACACCTCTTAGGGGTTGCTGTGTTTCTCTGTATTACGTTCCTTGCTATCATAAGCGGTGTTGGAAATGTTTTGAAAGCAACTAATAAGATTAGTTGCCAGGTGGCATCATTGATGGACTCGGGGGTGGCAGCGGTGGTGAGGTTGGCCCAGGATCGAGCATTGTTTCGTTCTGCTGTGCATGGGGTCGCTATGAGTCGGTTCCGACTCGATGGCACCTGACAACAACAACAATAAGATTAGAGAGAGTTGAGGTGGGTTTTTTTTTTGTTTTTTTTTTTTTAACTATTTCAGTGTCTTCGATTTATAAGAGCATTTAAAATTTACATAAGATTTTGTGGAACAATGGTCTTAAAATAATAGTGACAACTTGTTACTGACCGGCACTATTCTGAGGATTTTACAAATGTAATTCTCACAACAGCCATGAAGTAAACATTCTCCCCATTTTAAAGATGGGAAAGCTTTATCATTTATAGTGAAGTAAATAGAACAGTTGGAATTAAAACTCAGGCAATTAAATGGAGTCAGTGTTCTTAACCACCTGTGTGTACTCGGGTGATTTTAAACATATTTGTACAATTTTTGTAGAATTTCTTGTTTAGATGTGTTGGTTCTGAAAATTCACAAGAATTAAGGTAATAATCTGATAGGCACACAGGTGCCCTTTAATACAGATTCTAAGATGAGTGTGGTCATACATGATTGTATTTGTTGTATGCCAATGGGTTAATAATCACCACATCCAATGCAGCAGTCAAATAATTCTTGTACCCGAAAACTGCTTTAGAGGCATGTCGTCTGGCTGGTGACCCCATTGGTCACCCATAACGGGAAGAGGGAGAAAACCAGCAATGAGTTAGGAGCTAAGTCCAACCACATTCCACAGACTCCTGTGAATCCCGGTGGAGATCTGGTTGGCAGTATGTCAAGACCTGGGGATTCCTGGGCCTAAGGGAGTGACATGGCCACAGAGGACTAGAGTGGAGAGTGAAGCATCCAGATAATAAGAAGTGGGGGAGATACACAAGAACACCCATACTTGTAGATAGTACCCACTGTACCGGGCTTCAATGACTGGATGATCAGAACTGAACTAGAAAAAGAAAAAGAGGGCGGGAAAAAGTACCCCGCTACAATTTGGTGAACTTTGCTTATACTTCTATATTTAGTATCTCAAAAAAGGTAACAAATCTTTACAGTGAGGATCCCTCCCACCCCTTCTTTACACAGAGTTGATAGGGATGGGCAACTTAGACATTGGCTACCCAAAATGGAGGGACTACAAAGGCAAGAAGTGACTGGCTTACAAGCTTTCAAGAGGAAGCCTAGTTCCAGATGGGGTGGGGGAAGGAAGAATCTCCCTGAATGATTTCCAATCTGTTGGATGCGGCTAATGAGATGGGGATGACTCTTGTGGTACAATAGTGAATAATTGCTATCAGGACTGACTGTGAGGGTAACAAATATGAAGGCAGATATTTTGTAACAAAAGGAGGGGAGTGATTAATTTTGCAGTCCAGGAGCGGAGGTCCCTGGGACCATCAAATGAGAAGAGTGGAGTGTGGGATCCTACCCAGAGAAGCAGTGATGCCAGAGATGGAAGCAGAAATGATGACGTGGAGAGATGGAGTGGCTGGGGACACTGGAATCAGGGAGGGAGAGGGGCTGTATGCTGATGGCTGGGGGCCAGGCCTGTGGAGTATAACCTTTGGTTTGATGATGCGTGGAGGGGGGATTGTAATCATTACAATGAAAAGAAATACAATAGGATGAAGGTAAAACAGATGTTCTCCAGAGAACAAACAAGATGGCAGATCAGGTAGACATGCAGTGAGGAGCTCTGTCTGCAACAACACAGAATACCAGACCAAGCAGGCTCAGGGGATGGTCCCAGAACTCTGAACCACATATAAAGGAATATTTAGAAGGTTGGAAGGCTTACAGATAGGGGAAATTGTAGCAGAAGCAAGAAATCCATTGGTTTCTAATTTGAGATGCTGAGCTGCTCCCAGAGCCACCATCTTGGGTAAGACTGAGTAGGTGAAGGATCAGAGCAGACACAGACACCTGACAGAACCACAGAGATAAAGGTGTGGACATTCTATTTTTTTGTATCTGTTCATTGGTCTCTCACTGTCTGCGCACCTCCATTCTGGTGACTAAAGGGGGTGATGGAGCAAGTGGACACCCCACCCTCACAGCTGGAGGGTTCTACTACACATGTGCACAGACATCCTTGAAATTTATAGTGACAGTTTCCACTTAGAACCAAATGTCAGTTCTAAATGGCCACAGCCAGCCCTGAACTGTTTATCACTAGGAAAAAGGCCTGAACAGGGATTGTGGAGTGGGACAGGCAGACTGAAAAGGAAATAGGCCGAAAATTAAATCCTGAGGAAGGAGAGTGAAAAGGGAAGCCCATCTCCTGATCACATCTACCTGGAGGCAATCGGACACCATAAAAAATTACCAAAATACCCACCCATCTAAGTATTAAGGCTACAGATAATTCCTGAATATG